AAAATCATTGAAGTTATTTTTTTTTCCTCATTAATGTACACACAGCACCCCATATTGACAGAAAAACACAGAATTGTTGACATTTTTGCAGATTTATTAAAAAAGAAAAACTGAAATATCATGGATATAGCTACTGTATATAATGCATCTATTGACAGTATAAGGTTGCACTGTTGAGGCGAGGCTCACAGCCTCTCCAGGAGAAATCAAAACGCGCAGCACTAAGAAACTCAGCATCCTGAGGTAAAAAATCAAAATGGAAAGTTTTTATATTTAAAATACAGTTAGTTAGGCAACATCACACAACGTTTCTACCATTACGACAGTTTAATAGTTCTATAAACAGTTCAATAAGCAAATACAATAATATTAGGTCACTTACATTTTAGGCAGAAACAGCGCATCTCACAGCAACCAGACGATTCATTGCTGATTGATTCCATGTTTTGAACGAATCTGTTGAGTCAAAGTTTCATTAGCCCACACATAAACATCTGATGAATCTGACGTTAGAACGAATCGTTGAAAGAACGACTCAATGACTCACTCATTAAACGCTCACTACTGGCACCTGCTGACGTTTTAATTTAGTTGAAAAGTATCATTTCCACCATCATTTCTTGTTTGTATATTCAAAAATATTTAAAATAATCTCATAATATTATTTAATGCAGTTGTATTTTTCAGTGTAAATGATTTAATTTGATAACGTATAGATAATCACATTATTATAATTGAATTTATAGATCAAATGTAAGTAATTTGAAATGAAAGTATTAATGAGATTAGTGGGAAAATGCTCTCTATAAAGGAAAAAAAATGCCATTGGATAAAATATTAAAAAACATAGATTTATGTCACTGCTGATAGAAAACTGATGAGAATATTGCTTCAGAATAAATCATATTTGCAAAAACCACACACACACACACACACATATATATAACAAATCCCAATTTAACCCCTGTAATATCAATAGATAGATAGATAGATAGATAGATAGATAGATTTAAAATAACAAATAATAAATCTATCTTACAAAGTTCCAAAGTAGTACTTGGTACTTTTATTTTTTTCTTTAGAAATGCAGCTTCACAATTTTTTTGTGAAAATTTTGTCATTAATATACATCCATAACCAAATCAGTGTCGGTCAAAAATACACAAACTACCGTTTAAAAGTTTGAAACAAAGTTTACTTTTTTTAATCAACAATATTAGAATGATTTCTGAAGGATCATGGAGTAATGGCTGCTGAAAATTCTACTTTACATCACAGGATTACATTGCATTTTAAAATATATTAATATAGAAAAGCGTTATGTTCTATTATAATACTTCACAATTTTAATATATTTAAAATTTTTATATCATTTTTAATATATATATATATATTTTTTTTATTCGTTATTGTCCTTAAAATCCTTTAATGCAGCACCGTAGTTGTGGTTTCTTCACTAAATGAGGACACGTGTATGTTTTGTGTTTGTGGAACAGGACCTGAAGGAGCCAACCTGTTCATCTACCACCTGCCACAGGAATTTGGGGACCAGGACATCCTACAGATGTTCATGCCTTTCGGAAACGTGGTGTCTGCCAAAGTCTTTATCGACAAACAGACCAATTTGAGCAAGTGCTTCGGTATGAACTGACATTCAAATTCGTATTGTTCGTTTTTTTGTTCGTACTCTCCAAAAAAAAATAAAAAAATAAAAAAAACGGCGATCCATCTGAGGTCTCGGACCAGGATGGATACTTTTGGGTGTATGTCTGTATGGAGGAGATGGAGTGTGTATTTGTATTCTCTGTGTGAGCGAGTGCCTCATTTACGTGTACATGTTGGCAATTTATTCAAAATGTGTGTACTGTATGAAAAAAAAAAAATGCTAATGTGATGTTGGTGAAACGGTAAAAAAAAAAAAAAAAGTCTCATCGTCCCGTCATTGTTTCTGATGTCTTTCTGAGTTCTCCTGCTCATAATCTGGTCTCCTTTTACTGATCTTTGTACTTTGATCTTAACCTGATCTTTTTTTTTGGAAAAGTTTCGCATGTGACCTCATTTTGACCTTTTTTTTTCTTGTGTTTGTTTTGGTTTCTGTTTTTTTTTTTTTTTAAATGCTACCTACGTGTCACACCTTTTGCTGAACTGACTTACAGTTAGACAATCTGTGGTTTAAATGCACATGAAATGACCTATATTTTATACTGTTTAAATGTATAGAGGAAAAAAAAAACAGAGTTTGTGTAACCCGCGGTCCCGTCGGTGCTTTTCGTGGATAAAGTCGTGGTTTCATCAAGTCTAACAGTCTTATTTGTCTCATGTTTTTAAAGAGAAGACTAAAAATCAATTTACTTGAACAATAGACAAAGCCTTTCATAAGTACTATTACTACTACTCTTTTTGTTTTGTTTGTTTGTTTGTTCTTTTCCTTGTTTTTTTTATTATTAATCTTTTTTTTTTTTTTTTTTTGATAGGAGTCCCTCTTTGCTAAATTTCTTGTTGGGTAATTAGCTATATAAAAATTCTTAAAAGTTACAGTGTCGGCTTGTGAAGCATCTATGTCATTATATTATTTCATTTCTATTGTGGGAAACAATATTTAGATGTGTTATGTTGTTCAGCAAAAATGTGATTTTTTTTTTTTTCTTATAAAGATGAGTGGAATTTAGTGCCAAATTCTGACGGTACATCCTGCCTACAGCTTCAGTGTTTTACTTGTGAAATTATTTGATAACATGGGTATTTTATTTTTACGTAAGTGTTTTGTATGGAACCCTCATATTTAAAGATATAGATTTAAAAAAGGTTGTTAACTTGCTCTTCTGTGGTCTTGTTGCCTGAAACTGTTCATGTTTTTGATTTCTTTCTTTTTTCTTTATTTGTAAAGATGTAAAAAGTGCCCATGTGTCATAATCGCTCTCACAAGCACACACACACACACACGCACACATGCACGCATACACACACCTATGCTAAAGGTTGACCTCACAACCCTCTTTTCTTTGATGGTGTGTGTATGTGAGCCCCTGAGATTGAGTCTCAGCAGTTCTCCTTATATACACACACACACACACACAATGCACTTACACCACAGAAGGCCCAAAATTTGACAGGACTGATATATGACAGGACATCTGATATATTATGTTTGTCGGTCAACAATTTATGTGTGATGGGACAAAATATTAATGTATTTTTGTGAATTGTGAATCAGGCGTTGAACTTTTGACCATCATAATATAATACAGGGCCATCACGACAGCCAAATAATCATTACGCAACAGCTGATTTGTGTTTACGGTGGCTACGTTAAACTCGAAACGTCTCCGTGTAGTCTCGCTTTCTGCTGCCTTTATCAGGACTATTTTACCTTCGTAGGACAAGCAAAACTCCGTCCTGATGCCAAAGTAGTTCAGCAAGATCCACAGTGTTCGATAGCGCCTGTAGCACTTTGCTGTAAACGTTTACACATCTTTCGAACAGGCCCGTAAAAATATTGTTTACAAACGTAGTTTACAGGCAGCCCCCTCAAACCAGTTTACTCTATAGCACTATTTTATACCCAAGCTCTGCCGTTGCCTTAACACGTCGATCAGTATGAATGGGCTGGAATACATTGCTGCACATTTAATATGTGTGCGTGTGGGTTTTGTTTGACTGTGTACAGATGTGTGTCTGTGCTATGACTGGTTGTTCGTTGTATATTCGTCCCAGTTATTTGTAATCTTTAGCCAAAACTGGATCTGCCAAACTTTGTGCCGGCTAAAAAAACAAAAGGGACTCGTTCATGAAACAAGAACAAATTTGTTTAAATCATTTTTATTAGGGCTGCACGATAAATCGCATGCGATATTTAACGCGCATCTTGTCAGAAAGCCGGTTCTGTAATCAGCGGTAAATCTCCATCACGTGCGTGCTTTCACATGGAGCAGCATTAACTACACAGAGCCGTTGTTCACTGACAAGCTGCGCAAAAAATCGCGCGAATATGAACGTGGTTTTGCGCAGCTCGTCAGTGAACAACGGCTCTGTGTAGTTAATGCTGCTCAATGTGAAAGCACGCAGGTGATGGAGATTTACCGCTGATTACAGAACCGGCTTTCTGACAAGATGCTCGTTAAATATCGCATGCGATTTATCGTGCAGCCCTAATTTTTATTTACATTTTCGTACACGCCAGATCGTTTTTGTGTATACATGTTTGTCCTTAAATTGTACGTAAGCAGAATAAATTTCTGTATGTATTATACATAAACCACCCGTACATAATAAAGCAATAAGCCCCAAGAAGCCATGGTTTACAGTGAAATTATAACAGCCCCCTTAGCTGTTATAAATTCACTGTAAACCATGGCTTCTTGGGGCTTATTGCTTTTATAAAACGGTTATTCCATATACGTAGTAAGGTTTCACAAAATAAAACGGAGCAAATAAAGTGTAATGATATTAATAAAAACAGTATTCTTCCACCAAACAATGTAGTTCCTCCGAATCAGATGTGGTTGCAACAAAGTGGTGGCCAAGCAACAGACAAACGTAAAGAAAGGTGTATGTTCGTAGAGTAATTTACAACAGCTTCGAACGCGGCTCAACCAATCAGAATCAAGGACCCGAACTATCCGTTTTATAAATTGCCGTATAAAACCAGTCTGAAGTAAATGACATAAATCCATTTTAAGTACATTTTTGCATGATCATTTTTGATTTAATTTTTTTACCATTCTTATGTAAATTGTTACACACGATGCCGCAAGACTAAAAACATGTCAATCAAGTGTCTGTTCTCTGTAATGTGACCATATAGCTATTTTTACACACAAGAAAATTTGTATAAATTGTTTGTAAAACTGTGACAGTTTTTGTATGAATGGTTTATACAGAAATTCATTCTGCTTGCCTTTCATGAAAGGGGCCCCAAAAAAATGAAGATGTTACTTTTTCTGCAATTTACCCCTTAATGAGCAAGTTTCGTATTGGGATGTTCGAGTCCGTCAGTTTATGATATACTGTTCTCTTTGCCAAATCGTACAACCACTAGCACAAACACAAAAGCACATGCGCACTAGCACAGCGTTAGAACGCACAGTATTAAAATGGACGACTCCTTACGCTTCCAGAAAGTTGTTGAAAATTTTGTTCGCAAGACCGAGTTCTACAGTATGTTGCGTGTAAGCAATTATTATCATGCTGAATTTTTCATGGAATGCATCTTTGTTTGACCTCATTTAATTGGTGTGACTTGATGTAATATCACTCTGTAATGAACTGCGGTTCGGCTCAAGTGTTTTTACCTCAGCACAGTGCATTATCGATATCCGTGTTCTGTTTCGTTTATCACACTTCATCACAATCGACTTCAGACGAACAGGGTAAGCTTTCACGGCCAGCACAATTTCACACACACATTTGTCAGATGTTTCGTAAAGCACAAACTCACAAGGAGTTCTCGCTGAGACTCTTCACTCAGGGGTCTTACACACCACACGCATCTGGAATCTGTTTCTTTTGTTGCTTTCTTTCTCTTAAGTGCTATTTAACAAGTGTATTTTAAAGAGGAAAAAAAAAAAAAAAAGATGTGTAGTTTCTTTGCATTTTGGCTTATGTCAAGTTTTTTGGAAATGTATGTGTTTATCTAATGTGCCGTAACAAAAGCTTGTCGTCTGTAGATTAATATCATTTCGTTTGATTCTAAAAAAAAGAACGATTTCAGTAGTTTTAAGTATTGTCTTGAGAAAAGCCAAAGTCGACGCATTTCAGTGGATTGTGTAAGCGTGATACATGTTTGTTTGACAACACTTTGGAAATCTGTCGTTGGATGGGAATTTAAAAAGTACAAAAAAAAAGCAGGCTTTCCTATTTCTATCACTGATTGTACTTATGCCTTTTGTACCAGTGGAACTTTTTATACTGGCAATTAAAGGAAAAATAAAAAAAAAACTATCCGACACGCTGTGCGGCCCCAGCCAGGGGCCGACAGCGACTGGTTCCCGAGTTTGATTTCTAGTTGGCGTCCAGAACGTTAGGTTTTGATATAAAGATTTTTTTTAGAAGAACTTTGGCTTTGGTATCTTTAGCCTCCTCTTCTTAATTCTTCACATCAATATTTGCTTTCCTTATCCTTTTGTTCGTTTCCTTTCTCGGAAAGAGGGTCGAGGAGTTTTCCTTTTGGCTTCTAAATGCGTAATGCCGTTTGTCTTTACGAAGAGTCTTTACAACAGCGGTAAGTTTCATTTAGTTAAGTATTGTGCAGTCTCCATGATAAAGACGATTTAGAAGTATTTAGTCACCTTCAGTGGATAAATGTATTAGTTTGACAAACAAGATAAAAGTAATTTGAGGACTTTGCTTTTAGCTGTTTAGATTTTTCTGGTTTCTCTGTCTTTGCTGTTAACCTAACTGTGTAGCTGGAACAGTCAGACTTATTTTTGTAAATGTATGTTCTTGTGTGATGCAGTTTTTTTTGCCTCTGTCTCCGATATTAAACCATTTTTCCTAATACTCGTCTCTTTCTCTGTGGCGTGGTGTTCCAGTACCTGTCCGATGTTGTACAAATGTTCACGCAACCCTCCTCTCTATCTCCCTTCTCACTTTTGTTTGTTGGATTGTTTCTTGGTTATTTGGTTTCCTTTTTTTACGTTGCGATTAATTTCAGTCTCATCACCAAACATGGCAAATATACATAAAGATGTATATATGTATATTTCTGTGCAGCCCAAACTTGCTGTAACAGTAGATGGACAGCCGTATATTAAACACCCCCTCTGCCTTTTGCTTCCTAATGTTTGAACTCAAAGCGAAAAATTTTACATTTTTAAAAAAAAACTGACCCGTTTTTCCACTAGATTTGATTTGAAATGTAACATAAATACTCACCAATGTCGGGGTCGAGGATTTCCTGCTGGCGCTGACTAAGAGGTCATACTGTTCTGTTCTGTACTGTACCGCTGATCTGGGCGAGACCCCCTGTCTGTCCTTCTGTCTGTGTCCCTATCCACTATGTGCTGTCCATGTGTCCACTGCATCCCTACAGAGATACCAGAGAGTCCCAAATCAATGAAAGTGTTACAAATGATACTCGAGTGTTCCAGTGCTTTGGAAACTCCAGTTAGAGCAGGTGCCAGGGTTTCAGTGCTTGAAAACCATAGAGAAGGGAGTGTACACCCAACAATGAATATTCTGTCACTCTCATGCCACTCTAAATGTGTATGATTTGCTTTCCTCTGTGAAACACAAAAGGAGATATTTTCTTGCTTATATATGAACTTTTCACAATGGAAGTGGATGGGGATTTTGAATGTCAAGCTCTGAATGGGACAAAAAAGCACCATAAATGTAGTCCATACTACTATTTCGTGCCTTCTAAATAAATACGATTGCTGTTGTGTGAGGTGCAGAATTGATGGCAAAATTAGCATTTTTGGGTGCACTGTCCCTTTAACTCTGAGATGCCACCAAAAACTGTGGTTTTATAGAGAAAATAGCCGGATAGCACTTTGTTCTTGTAGAGGTTTTTGTTGCAGGAATATTTTACTACAAAGACACACATCTAAGGATGTTTTTTTTTTTTTACTTTACTGGAGGTACAAAGTAAAAATGAAAAAAAAAGGTTCCATGTTGGTACGTTTTCAGATATGACATTGTCAAAATATGTTACATCAGAATCGCTTCAGAAAAAAGAGAGTCCGTGTCACTGTGTGTGAAAACTGAACTTGGGGGTATATAAGAAATCAGAAAACTTTTATCAAAGACGTCTGCTGCTGGAACACAGAAGCATGACACCAGACAGGTACAAAAGACTTTCCTCTCACTCTGGGCTGGAGGAAGATTATCTTTTATGGAGAGAGAGAGAAAAAAAAACTGGATCTGACCGATCATGAGCGTATGGCTGCAGGTAAGACTAAACTTGGTATCACAGAGACACACCAAAAAAAAAAAAAAAAGAATATGGAACTGTGCTTTTTAGGGATGTAACGATTCACTCAACTCACGATTCGATTCACGATTATTATTATTCGTTTTAACAAAAGGAGATTTAAGACAAATTATAAATTAAATGTGTCCTTTTATTATTGCTTGGACAAAATGCTGCACATCCCTTTGTGAAATTGAAATATAACACTATAATAATATACTAATATAGCACTTGCATATTACTGCTCTTTTGTTGGTTTTGATTGCTTCTTTTGTCCTCATTTGTAAGTCGCTTTGGACAAAAGCATCTGCTAAATGACTAAATGTAAATGTAAATAACAAAACTACATTGACATTTTAAAACAAGCCCCAAAACAAAGAAGTAACACAAATAAAATAAATCTCTTCATATAGACAAACTAAGGCTTTGTCTGTGTTCTTTACATGCAACATGAGCAGTTTTTAATCTAAATTGGATTGTATAATTTCGAAATTTGAAGCAAAAACAGAATGGTTTGACTTCAGTTTTGTGAAACTATACTTAAAAATATCTGCATGAAACCGAAACAGCAGACGAGCTGAATGAGACGCAGTTTCACTCTCTGCCAGCAGGTGGCGCTTAAAGCATTTCCCTGGTTTCTGCTGTAAACAAAGCAGCGCTGCACTTATGAACTTTAATATGCATTATACAGAGGCAAGATGAAAAGAAAAAATACCATCTAAACTTTTCTAAAGACAGTAAGTTCCCCTCAGACATACATTCATATAAACTCCTACACCTAACTGAATCGCGATTTGTTTGGCATCTCAACCGATTTGAATCGTCACATATTTGAATCTGTTAATCGTTTTGTTAATCGTTACATCCCTAGTGCTTTTTAATCTACTGTTTATTTACATTTATTTGATCTTATTTTACTGGTCAAACTACTGCCATGGTGAAAAACAAACAATGTAACAATATATGAATGGCGGAAATGACAAATAATAACTTCATAATGTGAATATTAAAGCAGTGAGGAAAAAGCTAATCATTTTAAGGTGTTTGAGGGCGAGTTCCTAATTCATACATTACAAGGAAGTATAACGCATTAGTGAGGTGACAGGTATTTAAAGTAAACGTTTTGAAAGCAATTGACGCAAAGAGAGAACAAAAGAGTCCCACAATGTATACGTTATTAGTATTACAGTTTCTATTCAAATTAATAGTAAATGAAAATGAGCACTTTCAACACACGGTGTTTGTTGCCCTTTAGTGGTCACCCGGCTTAAGTGCATTTGTACAAGGGGAAGATCATACAAGGTGGGTATTGCCATAACTATATAATCTGGTATTACAACGTATCATGATAATACTAGCTATTTGTATTCGTTGACGTATCTTGGTCTGACCTATAAATGCTGTGGCATGTCAGTAATCATAGACTACATATATCAGTATTATGGCAGGCAATACTTTCTTAACGTTAAACTTAAAGTAACTACGTGTAATACAAAGGCAAACAATGCAAGGGCAACACACGACCAAAGAGAAGACGTTTGAAGACAAAGGCTTTTCACCGCTGGATTTGTCTATACAGTAAGTAACTACTACACTAACAAATGGTCCGTGAAATTCTCACGAAATTATGGAGTTATGGATTGTGTCACTTGCTTATATATGAAAATGCATAATACAGTATGATTGCACAAACCCATACACACAACCACAATATATATATATGTGCATATCTGCAGTTACATGTAGGCTACTCAGTAAAATATGTATGATTACAAGCAACTAACCTAAACCAAACACTAACCCTATAGTAAGTTGGTTAATTAATATTACTCCGTACTTATTTGTGTAATTACAATGTAACAATAGCACTACAATAAAGTGTAACCGTGTTTTAAAAGTGAGAGTTGCATGTAGTTCCATACTTTGGCCACCAGATAGACTCATTACTTCTTAAATTGTTCAAAAAGCAAGATGCTCATCATCATGACACCTATAAATGTAAACTAACACACCAAGGCAGGCTGCATTAAATTCTAAAAAACACAATTTATTAAAGCACAAAATTTCAGAAACATAAATCACAACAGCAAATATTATATGCACTTTCACATTTTGTGTTGCTTATATATATATATATATATTCAAACAGGAAGGGCCATGGCAATATGATATTTTTGCTTGAAATTTACACCGTTGCAGTACTTGATATAATTTATGTATAACACATAATTTATATTTACATTAACATTTAGTCATTTAGCAGACGCTTTTATCCAAAGCGACTTACAAATGAGGACAATAGAAGCAATCAAAACCAATAAAAGGGCAATAATATGTAAGTGCTGTGACAAGTCTTGCTTAGCCTATAATGCAGTACACTTAGCAAGGTTTTTTAAAAAAAAATATATATAATAAATAAAAAGAAAACAAGTAGATAGAATAGAAAAAGAATAGGGAGCGCTAGTGTTAGAGGGTCTTTTTAACTTTATAACTCGCAATTCTGACTTTATATCTCACAATTCTGACTTTATATCTCACAATTCTGACTTTATAACTTGCAATTCTGACTTAACTCGCAATTCTGCCTTTATCTGACTTTATAACTCGCAATTCTGACTTTATGTCTCGCAATTGCGAATTTATATCACGCAACTCTGAGAAAAAAAGTCAGAATTGTGAGATAAAAAGTCGCAATTACCTCTTTTATTTTTTATTCAGTGGCGGAAACAGGCTTCCATATGAATAGAGAGTGCTAGAGTTAGAGGGTCAAACGAAGCCGTTTCTTGAAGATAAGGACTCCGCTGCTCGGATTGAGTTGGGCAGGTCATTCCACCAGGAGGGAAAAGTCCGTGAAAGTGGTTTTGTGTCTCTTTGGGATGGCACCCTAATGCGCCGTTCACTTTCACAACGCAAGCTTCTAGAGGGCACACAATTCTGAAGTAGAATATTAACATACATTTAATATTATTTTAATAATATTAATAATCCCGTGACATTTTATTCTGAACTTTGCTGGCCAACTTAAATACATTATAATAACTATAAATGACATTCACCGGAAGGGCTTAAAATCACAGTCCTCACCTTACACTAGAGACCCGGGTATGTAGGCAACAGTAACTGCATGACTATGGCATCGCGATGATTTGGGCAGTGTTTGGCGGGCGGCGCGCGAGCACCTGAGCTGCTGCTGCAGGGGTTTCCATAGCGAGCGCACTAGCTCACTCACTTCAGCGGGAACACCGCGGACTTCCTGATGCGGGACAATGCGTGCATTCCGCTCGCATTTACGCCACAGAATCGGCTGAAGGGATGTAGGCGGAGCGCGGACGCGAGCTACAAAGGTAAACGCGTATTAATGATCAGCTGTGATCGGGAGATATTGATCCGGATGAAGTTCTGTTTGTTTTCTGTGCTAAAGTAGCGCTAGCGGGGCAGTTGGAGCCCTGCCAGAGTCGAACGGGGCAATTAAAGGGAGTTTAAATCCCGGAAATAGGGCGATATGCTTAATCGCGTATGTTTATTAACTCTTTCAGGGGGAAATACTGCTTTATTCACTCTAAAGTTGTTTGTAATTGTATTCAATGAGGCCTAGCGAGCCAAACGCTCGGACGGCCTCCAGCAGCAGGATTGATGCTGTTGGGCGGTTCATAAACACAAATGCCGCGCGCTGATTGGCGGAGTACACAGATGCAGAACGTTGATTGGCCGAGAGCGCTGTCTTTCACGAGGTGCCCCCCCTGAAGCCTTTTAAATGTTTTGGTATATTAATTTGAGGAGATGCAAGGAATTTCAAGTTAGAAAGTCACAATACAAATGTATTCCGGTTTTAAATCACTATTTATTCAGCATACTGTACTGCAGAGGGAAATAGGTTAGTCAGTTTCCTGACATTTCCACTTACTATGACTTATTATTTCCAGTAGTGTTCTTTGAAATGCCTTGAAGTACAATGTAAATAGTCTAAATATGGAAATAATTCCAGAACCATTGCTAAACCATAGTTTTTGTTAGAGGCATTTTTGAGTACATGATCTTTGTGATGCAGCCACAACTCCCCTCATGAATCACTGCCTAGTTCAGCCTATTACATTACAAATTGATCATAATTGATTTTTTTTTTTCTGTGTAGTTTATATAAATCAGTGCAGATCCTATTTAAAGGGCTTGGGTGAGAGTGTGTTTTCATGTCTCACATTGTGCTGAGCTGTGCGTTTCATATGCACATGTACATGTGCTGACTACACACACATCACTGCCCTGTTATACAGAGCAGAGCCCTACCAAGTGAACATGTGTGATCCAGAGCAAAGCACATCCAGTATTAATTCTGTATTCATCCTGTAATAATTTGCAAGAAACAAGATTAACCTACTTAGAAAAAGAAAGAAAACACACTAGAAAATAATGGCAATTAAGGAAAACAAACTATACATTCATGTTTATGATTAAAACAACTAGAGTTAGTACTTAAATGTGCTTACAATTGATGGAATTTATTAGATGATGTACTTTATTGATCTCATGGGGGAAACTGTGGTGCATTAGCAGCCAGACAAAACTGTAGAGTACATTGCAGATTCTTATACATTATGTACACTGTCAATACAGTGGTCAAGAACAAATCACACACACACACGTCTGGTTTGCTATCCTTGTGGGGACTCTCCATAGGCGTAATGGTTTTTCTACTGTACAGACCGTATATTCTATTGCCCTACACCAACACTACCCCTAAACCTACCCCTTACAGGAAACTTTCTGCATTTTTAGATTTTCAAAAAACTTCATTCTGTATGATTTATAAGCTTTTGTACCCGTGGGGACCACAATTTAGGTCCCCACCGTGACACGAGTCCCCATGAGTCTGTGTGTAGTCAGGTTTAAGTCCCCACCAGGATATATAAACCAGTACACACACACACACATATATATATATATATTTATACACACACTGCAGTTCAAAAGTTTGGGATCAGATTTGTAATGTTTTACACGGAGAATCATCTGCTCATCAAGGCTACATTTATCTGATCAGAAATACAGAAAAACAGTAATATTGTGAAATATTATTGCAATTTAAAATAATGGTTTTCTATTTTAATATACTTTAAAATATATTTTATTCCTGTGATGCAAAGCTGAATTTTCAGCATCAACACTCCAGTATAAAGTGTCACATGATCCTTCAGAAATCATTCTAATACACTCATTATCAATGTTGGAAACAGTTTTGCTGCTTAATATATATATTTTTAGAACCTGTGATACTTTTTTCTTTGATGAATAAAAAGTTAAAAAGAACAGCATTTATTTAAAAATAGAAATCTTTTGTAACAATGTACACTACCGTTCAAAAGTTTTGGGTCAGTTTCTTTCTTTCTTTCTTTCTTTTGAAAGAAATTAATGCTTTTATTCAGCAAGGATGTGTTAAATTGATCAAAGGTGATGAAGTCTTACATTGTTATAAAAGATTTCCATTTTTAAATAAATGCTGTTCTTTTTAACTTTATTCATTAAATAATCCTGAAAACGTATCAGTTTCCAAAAAAAAAAAAAAAAAAAAATTAAGCAGCACAACTTTCCAGCACTGATAATAAATCAGCATATTAGAATGATTTTGAAATTATTATTTAAAAAAAATTATATTTATATATATATTACAAATAAGTGAATTATTAATTAATAAATATAATATCAACATAATTATTGTTACGTTTACAAATATTAAGTTGCCATGTTGCTGTGACATTTTAGTGACTTCATAGGGCTGCACGATATTGGAAAAAACTCACATTGCGATATTTGTTTTTCTGCAATATATATTGCGATATGATAAAATAATCTGATGACTTCAATATAGCTCTATTTGAAAAAGAAAAAAAAATCAATGATTGGGGTGATTTTGTAGGCGAGTAAATCAGCATAGGAAATAAACAAATTGCAAGCATAGATAACAGAACAAAGATACAATTTAAATAAGCAGTGCTTTATATTTTTCAGGTCTAACAGTATTCCGGTACAGGAATGTAATAATCAAATGTAAAATAACACTGCATAGTTTTCACTATAAATTAAATCTAACAAATCTGTGTTAAAGCTACAAAAGTGATTTTTCTTTGCGTTTGTTGTTTGATTAACATTCATGGCACAGAAAGCAACAGGAACATTAAACTGCTGTGATTGTGAACCAATATGTTCCACATCCATTTTCTTTCTCAGTTGTTTACCTTCACCTAAGACATAAGCATCTGTGTTTACAAGGATACTTGCAGAGCACAGTATTTCAGGCACAAATAGACGCAGAAGTGAACAGAATTCAGTGTTCACGTGCATCTGCGTGGCTCTCACCGTGTCTACACCGGACGTGAGCGGCGCGACGCGACAAAATACAATAGAACCACTGATCTATATAATGACATAGAACCCATTATAATCAGTGATGCTGTGTGACTGGCTACACTGGATGCGGCGCGACACGAAAAAATCCCCGACAGTAAACTGATGCCACGTTCTATTTATGACGTATTGACACAAAGTTCAAATGATATGCAACGGTCGCTTTGTCACGTCCAGTGTAGATTGACTTTGGGGCCGTTCACATGTGGAACGTGTGGGAAAACACCAGTCGTGCCGCTTTCTCCTTCTTCCCAAAGCGCTCGGGAGCTTGCGCTTTCGTGGCATCTGCCATTGCTAAGCGACCGTGACCTGCGGTCTCCGTTTCAACAAAGGATAAATGGATTTCCAGCACTGAAAATCCCTTGCAGTAGCTCTGCTACTAAATTTATTCAAAATGGGTATCTCTGTACAGCTGTCACGTCCGGTGTAGACACCGTGTCTGTGTGTGGGCAAAGAAAACAATCAGTATAGATATAATGATCAGTAGCCTATACTAAACATCGCACATCCTGCGATGTGACTATCGCAGATGCGCATATCGCGATATTAATGCTGAAACGATATATCGTGCAGCCCTACTTCATACAGAGGTTGCACTATACATGACTTTGATTCGGCAGGAAAAAGTTGTTCAAATATTTATACTATAATAAATACTATAAACTGCTTTGACAGTAGTGTACAACAATATTGACTGGGATTATTATAGTTGGCTAAAATTAAAACCATAGGAAAAAAAACATTATAATATTTTATTAAATTTTTTAGTGAACAAAGTTAATTTTATTTATTAACTAACTAAAACAAAGTGAAAAAACAACAATGTAGGCATATTAAAAAAAAGAAACTAACAAAAATGACAAAAAAAATCACTAAAGCTTTAAAATTGAACTGAAAATGGAAAATAAAAAAATATAAGCTAATTTAAAATATTAATAAAAACTATAATAAGTTATTCTAAGCGAGCGGACTGCTTTTATAGTGCTTTTTTGTCATTTTTGGTCACTGTTTGCTACTTTCATTGTGTGGTAAAGACTGATGTTTGGAACAATGTTAGGCTAAGTAAATAATGTCTAAATTATATTCTGATGAGCTATTCCTTTAACTCAAAGTTTGCTCATCACATAAGCTTGTGATGGGAGATCTCATTCCTATCCTGGGTCGACCCTTATCATTTCCTGTCACCTCCACCCGGTCTTCATCATCTTATTACAGTGATTTCCTCCTCTCGCTGCTGTCCCATTACTATCATCCCAATACACACACAATGAAACATAATGATCATTACTCTACTATGGTGAATGGTGACTGCAGGAGGCAGGGGGTGGTGTGTAAGAGAGAGGGGTTATTAGTCGTCCTAAATGAAGGAGTGAGACGGGTAAAATACGAAAATGCAAGAAGGGTGGGACCCTCATGGGGGGTCATGACAGCGAGCCCAGGGCTCGCAAAATCGCTAGCCCGACGTCCCGGGGCTATTGTGTTTTCCAGTCGGACTACCAAGATGTATCACCACTCTGCCCGATGGGCTATCTTAAATGCAGATCTCCTGCGGGTCCTTAAAAATTTCTAAAGTGAGTTGTGTCAAACTTAAGGCCATAAAAAGTTTTAAATACGTTAAATGGTATAAGAAATGTCTTTATTATAATTTGAAGAGGTCTTACATTTGGGGGCGGAAAGACAAGAGTCGCGATATAGCTGGATTAAACTTCAAAAGGCAATGATGTCATTGAATAAATATGAGCGCTGCACGTGTCAGCCGACTGTCCTCAGAAACGTGTCGTTGGCATTTTAATTTAATTTGACCTATAATTCC